CTTTGGTAAGTTGTGTTTTGCTAGGAGTTCGTCATCTGAATTTTCAAATTTCTGGGCACACGGTTGTTCATAGTATCCTTTCATGATCATTGATATCTTTTTTTTTTTAATTTTTTTTAACATTTATTTATTTTTGAGAGAGAAAGAGACAGAGCATGAGCAGAAGTAGGGGCAGAGAGAGAGAGGGAGACAGAGAATCCAAAGCAGGCTTCAGACTCCGAGCTGAAGCACGGAGCCCGACGCAGGGCTCGAACTCATGAACCATGAGATCATGGACTGAGCTGAAGTCGGACGCTTAACCGACTGAGCCACCCAGGCACCCCGATCATTGATATCTTAATGTAGGACTCTTCATAACGCCCCATGTTCATTCTTGGTATCTTTGTGAGTATTTTTGTACTGATTTCCATAGCCTTTAGCAAAACAGCTCATGTCTTTTTTTTATTGTGTATTTTTTATTTTATTAATTTCTGCTCTCATCTTTACTATTTCTTTCCTCATTTTTAACTTCTTGAGATGACATTAAAGGTGGTTGGCTTTAGGCTTTCTTCCTATCTGGGCCTGATATATCCTTTAATGCTACGGAAAAATCCAGTGGAAATTAGAAGATCATGAACAAATTTATGCCAACACGTTTGACAACGTAGAGAAGAATGGACCAATTTGGGGGGCGCCTGGTCAGTTCAGCATCCGACTCTTGATTTCCACTCAGGTCATGATCTCGTGGTTCGTGAGTTCAGGTCCCGCGTCGGGCTCTGCGCTGGCAGTGTGGAGCCTGTTTGGGACTCTCTTTCGCCCTCTCTGTCTGTCCCTTCTCCGGTTGTGCGCACCCTCTCTCAAAATAAATAGATAAAAACAAAAAAACAAACTTAAAAAAAAAAAAAGAATGGACGGATTCCTTGAGAAATACAACTTTCTGAGGTTGACCCAAGAAGAAATCTTAAAATATGAACCATGATATATCTGCTGAATAAACTAAGTGCATAGTTAACCTTCCTACCCAAAAACTCCAGCCCCATAGACTTCACTGGAGGATTCTACCACCTTCTTAAGGAAGGACGCACAACTTGCACAAAGTCCCTTCCTAGCATCTGTCTGGGCTTCTCTTTTCCTACCTAATCCCCTCCTCCACTGTCCTTTCTATTCCTCCTTTTCCCAGTGCACTTGACTCTCCGTGTTCACCTCCTCTGGATGGGCCCCCCCCCCCGCCATCTCCTCCATACTCTGAGGGGCTGGAAGCAGAGGTCATGCTTGCACGCTGTGTGGCCAGCCATTCCATTGTCCCCTCCCAGCCTCTGTTCCATGTTTGCCCTGAGAAGCACCGGGAAGGCTGAGACTGGATCCTGTTTGCCTTGGGAAGGTTCCTTAACCCATCCTCATCCATAAAATAGGGGAGCTGGGGGATGGCGCCCACCGCATGAGGCTGGAATGAAGATTCAGGGAGGGAGAAATACAAGTGTCTAACAGCTCCTGGCACATGGTAAGCGCCCACTGGAGAGTTTGGTTGTGATCTCATTAGTACCACATGTCCTAGGCGTGATTTGCCACGGAGGAAGGCGTCCCGCAGTTAGAACTCATTTGTCTTCGCGGAGGGCTCCGCCCCTCCTCTGCCTCCCCCAGGGATGGGGGGGGGGCGGGTCATGTGTCTGAACCTAATCCCTGCTAATTCCCAGCCATTCTGCTGAGCCTGGACCATCATAAGAAGATTGGAGCATTTGCTAAATTAGTCCGGTTCAGGGAGACAGAGGAGACAACCAGGGAGGGGCCCGGAGACCAGGAGGGCCGGGGTGGGGGGTGGGGGGGGGAGGATGCAGACACATACCTGAGGGGACGGAGGAAGGAAGGATGAGGGAGGACCACAGTCGGAGGGGAGGGGAGAAAAGCCAGGGGGTCCCAGAGGGTCCGGCAAGATGAATATAAATCCCAGCCCTGCCTCTTCGTATTTGTGAGATCCTAGGCAGGTCGCCTGACCTCCCACTGCCTCGGTTTCCTCATCTGTGAAAGGGGGATGGTCACAGCACCGTCGGATACGAACAGCACCTCTCGCGTGGGTCATCTCTGAGAATTAAAAGAGTTTGGACTGGCTTTCTCCGGGGTCTGGCACATAGTGTGTGCTCAGTGGGTTTTTCCTTTTTGCTTCCAATTTATCGACGTCTCGTTTATATGGTATAAAATTGGCTCATTTTAACAGTACGGTTTGAGGCATTTGGACGATCACATAGAGTCATGGAACCACTACTCTTATCAAGACGTAGAATATTCCCCCGGGGCGCCTGGGTGGCTCAGTCGGTGAAGCGTCTGACTTCGGCTCAGGTCATGATCTCGCGGTCGGTGAGTTCGAGCCCCGCATTGCCGGGCTCTATGCTGACCGCTCAGAGCCTGGAGCCCGCTTCGGAGTCTGTGTCTCCCTCTCTCTCTGCCCCTCTCCCACTCATGCTCTGTCTCTCCTAAAAATAAACATTATAAATAAACAAACAAACAAACAAATAAACGGCATCGTGTAATATGTGGCCTCTTGTGTCTGCACGGCCTCTTCTGTGAATGTACTTAAAACCACCGAACTGCACACTTTTAAGATGATAATAATGGTCAGTTTCATGTGCGGGATATTTTAGCACAAAAATAAATGTTTATTGGACGCTCACCAGGTACTCGGTACAATGATCTCGTCTCATTCTCTCGAGGTAGGTCTTCTCAGTGTTACAGGTGGGGAAACTGAGGCGGGGAGAAATGCCCAGGGTCACGTGAGCAGAAGTGGCTGACCCCGGCTTGGACGGCAAGTCTGTCTGTCCCCACCAACCCTGGGTCCCCTCCCCAGGGACCCACAACACGCACACACCCTAACCTGGGACTCAGGGATGGAGAGCAGGGGCAGACAGTGGTGTTTTACAGTTGGAGAGACAGAAAGCCAGGGACAAAAAAGAAAAGAAAGAGGAAAGCAGAGATGAGAGGGACATGGCTGGGGCGGGGGGACTGAAGGTGGCTGATAGGGAGGGCTTGAATCTTTACACGGGCCACCAAGGCAGGAAGCGTGGCCATCCCCCCTTCCTCGCAGAGGGGGATGGGGGGGGTTGGTGCCCAGGGAGGTCACAGCAGGTAGGAGAAGCTAGCCGTCTGGAGTCCACATCCCTGCTTAATTGGCTTTAGGGAGAAACCGAGGAAAAGTCGGCGACCAGACGGAGAGAGCACGTGGACAGACCCATGACCCCAGAGATACAGGTGGGGGAGACAGGAAAAGGACAGAGCAACCCCCTGTCTCCGCCACCCCACCCCACCCCCACGCCGCCTGCCCCTTCACAGAAATTTTTTAAAAAATCACCCAGACTTCAAGCGAGAGTCAACATTTTAATTGTTGTCGCTCCGTGAGTGGCTTTTCGGGAAGGGGACTGGAGTTCCGGTGAGTGGAAAAAGGGATACAGAATGAGGGGGCCTCCTGACCTCTCAGCCCCGGTTAGCCTGTGTCTGTGGCCCCCAGCCCCTACCCCTCTGTGTATCCTTTGTGCCCCAGGCTGGACTCTGAGCCACTCCCGGGGGTCTAACGGCCCAGAGGCCAGCGTGGCCCAGGCCCCTGAGAGACGTTCACACGGCGTGCTTGAGTAAACCAGCTTTGTGGCCTCTGGTGACCCCAGTGTGCAGGGGTCTCGGGGGTCTAGGCTGTGCGCACCTGTCCTGGCCTGGACCCAGAAAACTCATCTGAGCCCCCCCAGCCTCTCTGCACACCGTGCCCGCCTCCTGACACCCCTTCCTGCACCAGGGGCCTGGGGCCAGCTCCTACCGGCTCGTGAGCCCAGATGGCATGCGTCCCGCTCTGGGTCCGCGAGCCCAGACTGGCGCCTTGAAATCAGCCACAGTGGGAGGATTCACACCACGGAAACCGGCCAGCGAGGCACCTCGGACATTCTCCGCTTCTCCTACCTCCTCCCACCCTGTGCCTCGTGGGGCCGCGGGCGCGGCCCCCGCCGAAAGGCTCGTGGCTGCCGATCACCCCGGCCCAAAAAACACGAAAGGGAAATTCGGACTGAGGAAGCAAGGCCAACGCGCCAAACTCCCACGAGTGTCAAAACTCAGAATTCTCCCAGTGCTGCTGTCGGACGCCGTGGGTCGGGAAGAAATGCAGCGCTGCCCCAGGAAAACTTCCTCGGGCCAGGCTCTCTCGTCCGGGTCCGCAATCGGGGCCCCAAACAGACTCTAAGAGGGGGACCGTGTATCTTAAACGTGGGACTGCCTCCTAATCCGTTTCTCCCCCCCTCCCCCCCCACGTTTAACAGCCACGTTTCACAGATTCCTCCTGGCACCTGCTCTTTCTTCCTGAAACACCCACAGCTATAGTTAGGACACCCCCAGGCAATGCCAAAATTCCTCCGATGTTTGGGTGAAAGTCACCTTTAGAAAATCCTGACACAGGGCCGCCTGGGCGGCCCAGTCAGCGGAGCGTCGGGCTCTTGGTTTCGGCTCAGGTCTCGATCCCAGGGTGATGGGACCGAGCCCCGCGGGCAACAAGGAGCCGGCTTGGGATTCTCTCTCTCTCTCCCCTTCCCTCTGCCCCTCCCCTGCTCGCTTGCTCTCTGTCTCTCTCTCTCTCTCTCTAAAATAAAATTTAAAAATCCTAAACCAAAAAGGTTAAAAGGAGACAGGAAACAGGCGACTTGCCTTCCATTCTCCCACCAAATATGCCCATTCGAATGATGACACAGTCGTCATTAGTTAAGAAACTAAGAAGAAAAAAAATAGATCCATAGATCAAACAGCCCCCTAAACCTACCATGTAAACCCAAGGTTCGTAAGATCTGCCAAATGGACGTTTTTAATTTAACCATACGACTGGCCTAAGCTTCCATGGTGGGGTTTCTTAAAGTCTGTCTTTGGATTTTCTAGAAGGATCTCTAGCCATATGCTAAGGAAGTGTCCCACACGGAAGGTACAGAATTGAGCCTCCCTCCCTGGGTGGTCGCGGGCCTCTTGATTCTGACCTCACCAGTACCCGTCCCCCCCTCCCCCGCCCCCCTTGCCGAGTGCCTTTGAATTTCGTCTCGGGGCGAAATTCTCACCAAGACAATTTCTGGAGTCTGGGGCTCGCGGTTTCAAAAGGCAGCTAAGAATCCACGCGAGCCGGGGCTGGGTTGAGGGTTACTAAGACCTACTGAAGTGTGCCCCTCGCCCCCACCCCTGCCCCCGGAGAGCGAGGAGACCCTCCCGGGAGGAGGGGGTGGGCCGTGGTGAGTGAGCCCTGCGCACGCACGAAGCCAGAGAGGCCCCGAGCTCCGCCCTGCTTCCCCAGGGACGCCCTCCCGGGGCCGGTTCAGACGAGGCGCGGAGACAGAGCTGGCCTCTACAAGATCTGAAACTTCCAGGCACTCTGATCCTTGTAGTCCAACGGGTCCGTGGGGTTGTAGGTGAATTTCCAGGTGCCTGTGGGGTCCCTGAATTCCAAGCTGTCCACGGGGCTGTAGGGACCGTAGCTCTGGCCTGACAGGGAGGTGGGGGACTGGGCCAGGGAGGGGCCCACGGAGGGGCCGGAGAGGGGGCTGAGGGCCGGGCCCCCCAGCTGGGGCACCATGGGGGAAAGATAAGGATCCAGGCCACTGAAATAGGAGCTCGGAGACCCGTAGGCCGAGGGGGAAGAGCAGAAAGCAGAGGCGGGGGTGTAGGTCATGGCGTAGGGCGCGGAGGTCAGAGGGGGCCCTGCCGCCACCAGCCCCGCCCGCTGGGCCTCGGGCAGAGGGGACTCCGAGGCGGGACTCCAGATGGACACCGTGGCCACGGCCGAGGTGGGGGAGACCGAGGGGCCGGGTAGAGGGGGGCTGTAGGAGTCTGAGATGCCCAGGGGATCTGGACAGACGTCCGAGGAGGATCTTGGCGACATGCCTGCCTTCCGCTTGGCCGGACGGGCCTTGGTTTGTGCCCCAGGGGGCTGCGGCTGCTGCTTCTGCTGCTGACGCTGCTGGCGGCATTTGGCCCTGCGGTTCTTGAACCAAACCTGGGGGGGGGGGGGCGGGGAGAAGGGGTGGGCGAGGGGGGGGGAGCCCCGGAGAGTCACAACCCCCCGGTTTTGGTCGGTCGCCAGGACACTCTATCCATCCACCCGACCGCCCGTCTGTCCGTCCATCCAATCACACACACACACACACACACACACACGATCGTACAAACACACACAGACACACTTATCCATCCATCCATTCCATCAATTCACAAACATGCGTGAACTCTGGGGATACGTCTGTGGAGCTGACATTCTTGTTGAGAGTGACAGATTATAAATAAACAGTAGGTAAGTACATTGCATGGCATTCCAGAACCTTCTAGAAGGTGATAAACACTATGGAAGAACCAACTGAGTGGGAGGAGGGGACAGTAGCGCGGGGAGGGCGAGGGACATTGCGAGTTTACTTTTTTTTTTTTAATGTTTATTTATTTTTAAGAGACAGAGAGACAGAGTGTGAGCGGCGGGGAGGGGCAGAGCGAGAGAGGGAGACACAGGATCCGAAGCGGGCTCCAGGCTCCGAGCTGTCGGCACCGAGCCCGACGCGGGGCTCGAACTCACACACTGTGACATGACCTGAACCGAAGCCGGACGCTTAACCAAGTGAGCCACCCAGGCGCCCCTAAACTTATTGCAACTTTAAATGCGAGAGTCCGTCTAGGTCTCATTGATGGACGTGGTGACCTGATTGGTTGATAAGCAGACTTAAAGTGATGGGGAAGAAACCTCCCAGGTTGGGGGGGGGGGGGCGCCTGGGTCCAGCTTCAGCTCAGATCATCATCTCGCGCTTGGTGAGTTTGAGCCCCCCATCGGGCTCTCTGCTGTTAGCGCGGAGCCTGCTCCGGAGCCTCGGTCCCCCTCTCTTTCCGCCCCTCCCCGGCTCGCACTCTCTCAAAAATAAATAAACATTAAAAAAAAAAAAAAAGTCCAGGTAGAGGGAACAGCAGGTGCAAAGGGCCTGTGGCCAGAGTGTGCATGGCAGGAGTGCTGGGGGAAGAAGCAGCAAGGAGGGTGGAGGGAAGGGTAAGAAAAGTGGGGGAGAGGGGTTATGAGGGCTCCTTATGACTTTGACTCCCCGACTCCCCCTTCTCCCTTCACGCTTGGGTCCCAGGAGGGGCTGGGGCTCGGGGTGGGGGAGGGGGGCGGCCAGAACATCCCACCTGAACCCTGGACTCGGGCAGGTTGATCTTCAGAGCCACCTCCTCGCGAGCATACACATCCGGGTACTGAGTCTTGGCAAACAGGGCCTCCAGCTCCTCCAGCTGGCTCCGGGTGAAGGTGGTCCGCTCCCGCCGCTGCTTTCTGGGGGCGCCTACGGCCGAGAGGGGACAGCAGGGCCATCAGGTGACCTGGGCACCCCCCCCCCCCCGTTCTCTTCGTCCGCCCGTAGGAGGCCCTGAGGCTGCCAAGAAGCCCTTTCTGGGTGCTCGTCTGGCCCAAAGAAAGGCGCGCCCATTCCCTGACCTTGTAGGCCTCACTCCGTCCCCCCCGGGAAATGGGGCTTCTCTTTGCCTGTTATCTCGGGGCTCCTGCCTCACCCCAACAACTGGCTGTAGCCCTGGAAGGAGGCTTATCCCCGTTTCTAACATTTCTCATGCCCTTGGGGCGCCCGGGGGGCTCAGTCGGTGAAGCGTCCAACTTCAGCTCAGGTCATGGTCTCACGGTCTGTGGGTTCGAGCCCCGGCGTCGGGCTCGGAGCCTGGAGCCCGCTCCGGATTCCGGGTCTCCCTCGCTCTCTCTCTGCCCCTCCCCTGCTCACACTGCGTGTCTTTCTCTCTCTCTCTCTCTCTCTCTCTCTCTCTCTCTCTCAAAAATAAATCAACATTAAAAAAATTGAATAATAAAAATAATAAAATAATTAAAAAATAATAAAATTAAATATAAAATTTAATAATAATAAATAATAAAATTTAATCAATAAATTTAATAATAATAAAATAAAACAACAAAATTTCCGATGCGCTGAGACACGTTCGGGGAAAACATTCCACCACTTGGGAGTGTGTAAAACTGCCAGGTGGGGCTAGAGGGCGCCACATCCGAAAATGCCATGACCATCCAACGCGCGCTCGGATGCCCCGAAGTCTGGCGCCTGCGAATGACCACAGACGGCTGATGCGTGGCTCTGAGGTCGCCCCGGGAAGTCCCCATCTTCTTCTCCCTGAGGACGAAGGACCCCAGGGACCACGGAGAGCTGGGCTGGCCAGGAGAAGGACCGTACTCACTTGGGTAGGACACAGCTTGGTGCATCAGATCCACACTGGGACCACTCAGGGCCAAGGCATTGACCGAGTAGTGGGGCCCCGGGTTCATATACGCCATCATGATCTTCGGGGACACTGCGGCCCAGGTCGGCGGGCCTGCAAGAGGAGACGGGGCGTTCAGACACTCCCTCCCCACCCGGTTAAAAAAGAGGGGGGCGCACCTGAGTGGCTCAGTCGGTGGAGCGTCAGACTTCGACTCAGGTCACGATCTCGCGGTTCGTGAGTTCGAGCCCCGCGTCGGGCTCTGCGCTGACGGCTGGAGCCCGGAACCTGCTTCGGATTCTGTGTCTCCCTCTCTCTCTCTCTGCCCCTCCCCCGCTCGCGCTCTGTCTCTCAAAAATAAATAAACATCACGAATTTTTTTAAAACTTTAAAAGCATTCCCCGGTGACTGCGTGGTGACAGGCAGGCCCACGTCCAAGTTCTGCCTCAGGCTCTCTTTAGGTGTGCGACCTTGGGCACTGATCTCTCCGGGCCTCAGTTTCCACACCTGTACAACGGCCCTCCGCTTAAAGTGGGCAAAGCGTCACTGAGACCCTGGCTGCCGCTCCCCTCCCGCAGCTGTTCTCGCTATGAGCCCAGAAAAGATGTGCAGCCTCGCACAGAATCACAGACGACCGCAGGGTGACCCGCTGTCCCGGCCTGCTCGGGGACAGAAAGGTTTCTAGAGACGCAGGCCTTTCCCCACAAGACCTGGAACAGTCCCAGATATGGCAGGACGGGAGGGTGGCATGCAAACGACAGGGAGGGATGATCGTCCCTCCAAGACCACACGCGACCTGCCTGGTGGGCTTACTTTAAAAAAAACAAATTTTTTTTTTAGACGTTTATTTATTTTTTGAGACACAGAGACAGAGTATGGGGGGGCGTGCGGGGGGCGGACAGAGAGAGACGGAGACACAGAATCTGAAACAGGCTCCAGGCTCCGAGCTGTCCGCACAGAGCACGACGTGGGGCTCGAACTCACGGACCGCGAGATCGCGACCTGAGCCGAAGTCGGACGCTTCACCGGCTGAGCCCCCCCCCCCCAGGTGCCCCATGTCTGGTGGGCTTAGTGACCCCAGTGGCGGCCTGGGCGTGGAGGAGCAGGCTCCGCACCGTGTCCGGGCAGTGGAACAAACAGGAAGCATCTATCAAAGCAACATGCCATCTTCCCTCTCCCCAACCTCCCACCCCACCCCTGCCCCGGGGGCCACAGCCTTCGGGGTGCCTCAGTCCCCCTCATGGGAAAATGGGAATGAAAAGAGCCTTTAAGTCTTTAGATGGTTGTGAGGGTAAATGCGTGATGTCTGTCAGCCCCTTAAACTAGCACCTGTTACAGTCGGTACCTGGTGCGTCGCAGCTCTGGGCCCTCGCTGTCATATGCGGGGACATGTTTGCAGAGACTGGACGCTGGGATTTCTTTCTTTTTTTGAGACAGAGAGAGAGTGCAAGCGGGGGAGGGGCAGGCGGGGACAGAGAGCACCTGAAGCAGGTTCCACCCTCACCGCGGAGCCCGATTCGGGGGGCTCGACCCCACAACCCTGGGATCAGGACCTGAGCAGCGATCAAGAGTCCCACGCGCAGCTGAGAGCCGCCCAGGCGCCCCATCCTGGGGTGTTGAATAGAACCTCTCAGGGGCGCCTGGGCGGCTCCGTCGGTTGAGCGTCTGACTTCGGCTCAGGTCATGATCTCGCGGTTCGCGAGTTCGAGCCCCGCGACCGGCTCTGTGCCGACAGCCTGGAGCCTGCGGATTCTGTGTCTCCCTCTCTCTCTGCCCCTCCTCTGCTCATGCTGTTTCTCTGTCTCTCAATAATAAATAAACATTAAAAAAAAATTTTTTTTAATCCTTGGGGCTCCTGGGTGGCTCCCTCGGTTAAGCACCCGGCTCCTGATCTCAGCTCAGGTCGTGATCTCATGGTTCATGAGCTCGAGCCCCGCACTGGGCTCTGTGCTGTCAGCACAGAGCCTGCTTCAGATTCTCTCTCTCTCTCTCTCTGTCTCTCTCTGCCCCTCCTCCACTCACACGTGCACACACTCCCTCTCTCTCTCACACACAAAATAAATAAAAAAGCATTTTTAGTTTTTTATATTGTTTATAAAATTTTTTTAATTTTTTTTTTAATTTTTTTTTCAACGTTTATTTATTTTTGGGACAGAGAGAGACAGAGCATGAACGGGGGAGGGGCAGAGAGAGAGGGAGACACAGAATCCGAAGCTGGCTCCAGGCTCCGAGCCGTCAGCACAGAGCCCGACGCGGGGCTCGAACCCACGGACCGCGAGATCGTGACCTGAGCCGAAGTCGGACGCTTAACCCACGGAGCCACCCAGATGCCCCTAAGTAAGCCTTAAAAAAAAAAAAATCCTTGATCTGTGCTTATTACGTATATGGCTGAGAGCCACGTCTTTTAATTTTGTAAAAATTGCACTTTGACGATAGAAGCGTGCGTGGGCTACATATCGTATATTAACGAAGTGTATATTTAATACATATCGTACGGCATATACATATGCGATGTGTAGGCTTCGGATTCTGTGTCTCCCTCTCTCCGCCCCTCCCTCGCTCACGCTCTCTCTCTCTCTCTCTCTCAAAAATAAACAAACAATGGGGCGCCTGGGTGGCGCAGTCGGTTAAGCGTCCGACTTCAGCCAGGTCACGATCTCGCGGTCCGGGAGTTCGAGCCCCGCGTCGGGCTCTGGGCTGATGGCTCAGAGCCTGGAGCCTGCTTCCGATTCTGTGTCTCCCTCTCTCTCTGCCCCTCCCCCGTTCATGCTCTGTCTCTCTCTGTCCCAAAAAATAAAATAAAAAACGTTGAAAAAAAATTAAAAAAAAAAATAAACAAACATTAAAAAAATAATTAAAAAAACAAACACACCAGAAGGCATTTGCTTTACCTCCTTCCCCTCTGTCCTTCGCGTCCCCCACTTGGGGGACCGTGTTCTATTTCCATTAATTGGGGCCCTACAGACTCACGGGATGGAACTTCTGGGAAAATGAAATGAGGTAATGGGGTGGTGGCGGGATCTGGGGTGAGGGTGAGGCCTCTCATCTAGATGGTCAGGGAAGACCTCTCTGCAAGGAGATGACCCCGGAGGGGCGTCTGGGTGGCTCAGTCAGTTAAGCGGCCGACCCTGGATTTCAGCTCAGGTCACCATCTCACGGTTCATGGGTTTGAGCCCCGCATCGGGCTCTGCACTGCGCTTGGGATTCTCTCTCTCTCTCTCCCCCTCCCTCGCTGGCTCACTCTCTCTCAAAATAAATAAATAAACATTTAAAAAAAAAACTTAAAAGAGGGGGTGACCCTGGCGCTGAAAAGCGAAGGCTCAGTCAACTTGGGAAGGGGCCTCCAGGCAGAGGGAACAGAGGTTGCAAAGCCTGGAGGCTGAAATCGGTTTTGCCTGGTTGGAGGAGAAACAAGGGGCCGGCGTGACTGGAGCAGAGCCCGTCCGGGTGGAGAGTGAACCGGGTGGTGTGGGACCCGACAGGAAGGTGGTGGGGAAGCTCAGGGCTGACGGTTTCAACAAAAGCAGAAACCACTTTAAATCGGAAGAATCAGACCCCCGCCTCCTCCCCGCCCAGTAACCTTCACCCTGGCATTCGCTCCCCTTGGGTTGTCCCCACAGCCACTAAGGGCACCGCAGAAATGACAGGGTGGCCTCCAAGGCTGCTGCCGCTCTGGGGGAAGCCTCGGGACCGAGCCGCCCCCCCGCCCTCCCCCCCCCCGGGGGAAGGTCAGGGCCAAAGCCTCAGACAAGCCTGCAGGTGACTCAACCTTCTGGTCGACCCCTGACTACATCAGCGCGAGCGTCCTGAGCCAGAATCATCCAGTGGGGCCCCCCGGATTCCTGTCCCCCAGAGACTGTATGAGACCGTAAATGCGTGTTGTTTTCAGCCGCCGAGTGTTAGTGTGACTCGTTACACAGCTGTGGAGAACTCAGCGCACACGAGACTTACGTCCTCCGCACATCCCTGGGAGGCAGGCGCTGCGTTACTGCTATGCCCCCATTTCACAGACGGGAACATCTTGAGGCTCGGGCATGGTTCCTGGCCCAGGGTCATACGCAGGCCGCCAGCGGGGACTCGGGGTTCCAGCCCGGGGGGGTGGAGGTTCCCGAAGGCTGTTCTCCCAGCACCCGGCCCGGGGCTCCCTCTGTCCCTTCTCTCTGTCCTCCCACGGGGCCATGATGCTACACCAGAGGTTCCGGAGAGCCTGGAAACGGGGAGGCTCGTAAAAACCGCCCCGCCAGGGACCACGTGCAGGGCCTGAACGAGAGCATCCAAGGTCACTGTCCTCCCCACCGACTCAGTGCCCCCCGCCTAACCAGGATCAGAGCTTGGCCTTCCAGGAAAGCCCAGCCTTCTCGCACGGGGATGATCCAGCCTCCAGACGGGGAAATCCGAGCCTGGGGTGAGGAAGGTGCTCGCCCAAGACCGAGGAGCTGATGGTGACCATGACCCCCAGGACTGAGGGTTTGCCCGCTGCTCAGATAACCAACAAGTAAGGGCCTTGTGTTCAAGGTGGCAGCAAAGAATAATAATGGGGATAATATCGACACCCGCTGACATTTTTCTCTGTGTTTGGCAACGAAACGAGGGACCTCACGACCTCAGGACGTCCTCGCTCTGCACAGGCTTTTCGCGTGCGCTTCTTCCCCAGGAGCACAGACAGCAATAACTACAACATCTACTACTTTTGGCTGAGAATTTTCGAGAAACCGGACCGCGCTCCTATCACCCTCCTGCCTGGTGAATCTCAAGGCAATGGTGCCTCATGATCCCAAAGATGGGCTGAGGGGGACCCTTCTCCCTGCCCCAGGGACCAACCTGTGGGACCCGAGGCTGGCGCCCGGGGCCCCTGATGTTCAGCGGCCACAGGGTCCAGGGTCCCATCTGGAGCAGGTAAGGCTCACACCCACCTTGCGGGTAGTCAAGGAGAGAATCCCTGTAATTCTACAGGTGGGGAGACCGAGCCTGAGGGGTGCAGAGGAAAGTGCCCACCCCTCTTGACAGCCATAAGGACTTCCAGCGGGGATCCCAAAACAGCTCAGACATTTCACTGAGGGCCTCTGGACTGAGATCTCGGGGAACAATAAGCTTGTGAAAACTTCCCACAAGGTAGGTCCTCGTATGATCCTCGCTTCACAGAGGAGGAAACCGAGGCTCAGGGAGGAGTAGAGTCCCCTGCTCTTGACCCCCAAATCTACCCCAGATCCCCCAAAGCAGGATGAGGCCAACTCCCTCTCCTGGGTCTCCAAGCCTGTGACACGGGCTCCCCATGGCTCATCCGACTGCATCGTCATGGCGCCCCATCCTTGCGTCCGCATAGCAGACGGGGAAACAGAGGACCAGAGAGGTCACGTGAATGGCCCAACGGCACACAGCGAGGCTTCAAGCCCAGACTCAGGTGGCCCCACATCCGCCCCCGGCAACACTCCCCGAGCTCAGCCACGTTCCAGGTCCTCCCTTGCTGGATCTCCGCCACCATTCGCCGGGCCACCCTGTCCGACAGGAGCTGAACTGTGCATGCTCATGACCAAGGTTGGACAAGCAGGAGTCTGTAGGGCAGGGAGGCCCCTACCTTAGTAATCACTCCACCAGCATGGGATCCGAGAATCCCCGAGAATCCCGGCATTCCTGGCCCCATGGGGCCATCCCAGAATCTACACTTCCTCCCTCCTGCTGTCGGCATGTGGCTCTTAGCATTTTATTTTTGTCATTCAACCCCCACTCGACAGAGAACCAGGCACCCCAGCCACACGCCCGGGCACTGGGAGAAGCCAAGGGGGCAGCGGGGAGACGGGTGGGCTGTCCGTGAATAAACCCACCAACGAAGAGAGTTTCAGGCAGTGCACGTTTCGAAGAAAACACAAGATGATGGGCTAGGAAGTTGCCTTGGACCAGGAGCGAGAAGCCCCCAGCCCCGGACACGTCACCAACAGGCCACTCTGAGCCCCACCCCCCCCCCCACGCGCGGTCCACCCTTCGTTCCTCCTGCTGCGCTCACAGCCCGCCCCGCACCTCCGAACACCGGGACTGAACCTCTGTTCCCCGTAGGTCCCTGCACCGCACATCACACACGCCTGTACCGGGTGCTGAGAACCCAGGTGGGGAGAAAACATACCCAACTTCTGCCCCCTGTCGCCCCCCCCCCCCCCCCCCGCTCTGCGTCCCTCCGTCCCCTCTCCCCTCTGCCACTCCTGCACGCACCTTCAGAAACAGGGACGGGGCTCTCCCGGTGGCCCGGGACCTGGGCGGGAGTTGTCAGATGGCAAAGCCTGAAGGAAACAGGTCCCCTCACATGGGGAGATTTTAAGCTCCGGCTGGGAGTGATGTCATTTGCGGTGGCCTGGATCTCGGAGGGTAATCCTGGCCCCGGGTGGGGGACTTGACTGGGCGCCAGGAGGTGACATTGGCTGGGAGGGGGAGGGGCACCCGCCTGCCTAATCCCCTTCCCCTCCCCACGACATCTTGGCAATTAGGGCTGATGGGGACGGGAGGCCCCAGCTCCTGCCTGTGACCAGGAACCACCCCCCCACCCCCCCCACCCCCGCCCCCGGCCGCCATCGCCCCGCCACTCCTCAGGGAAGTTCTTCCTTAGGTCTAGCTGGTGTCCTTCCAGCTTTGGTGTCCCATTAAAGAGGAAAAAGAGAAAGGCCAGGTGTTGCTGAGAGATCGCTCGACACATAAAGGGGTGCGGGTCTTTCTGCCCTTCTCCCCCACACTCTGCCGACCAGCTGAAACCTGTACGGCCCGCATCGTTCACGCTTTCTGCCTCCGTCTCCCCAGTTCCGTCCGTGTGCCTCTCAGCCTCTACCGCTCCCAGGCTACGCCACTCCGGCCACGTTGCCTGCGCGCCCCCACCCTCGTCCCTGTGTCCCTGTGTCCCTGTCTGTTCACCTGTCCCTGCAACCCCAGCCCCACCCCACCCCACCCCCCAGCCCCGCTGTGTTCCTTTATCGGAGCCTCGCAAGTCCCACTGTTCCCGTTTCTCTCTGTTCTCCCCCAAGGTCCTCTGCTCCCTGCTGCCTTTCTCCTCGGTTTCCCCTGCGTTTCTGCCTTCGCCCTATCTTGGTACCTCTCTCATTCTGCACTTTGGATCGTCCTTGCCTCTGTCTCCCTCCCTGGGTCTGTTCGTCACGACACACCCGACAGGCACACATGATCGTGGGGGAGATGGCGGTAATCCTGCCTTGTGGCCGGGTCATTGTGTCTCACCATAAGGGGCTCTTTCTTTCTCCCCGCACCCCCCCCCCCCCACCGCAAACCCCCTGCCGCGGGAGATTAAGGCCAGCAGCCTGGCTGGGGAATCAGGACAGGTCTCATTAGCTTGAAGAGAGAGGGAGGGGCTGTCTGACCCTCGGGGACCAGTCAGGAGGCTACTGATGGGAGAATACAGTGCTATACCGGACGGTTCTGGCCCGCGGGAGCAGGGAGAGGGAGAGAGGGTCCTTACAGGCCCTCAGAGAAGAGTGTCGGCCTCTCTACATCACTGCCTCCCTGGACCGTGCACCCATCCGCTGTCAGGCCCAGAGTCCCCTGGGGTGGGAGGGCGTGGAGAGGTGAGTCTCAGAAGGTCAGGCTCATGGCCCTAGGGTCAGTTCCCTTCTTCTGCCCAGCTGGATCCCCTGGGGCAAGGGGTTTTCTTTGTCATCTACGCCCAGTGACTCAGGAGGAGTGCCTGACATTTAGCCTTGACCGCTCCCTTTTCCCTCACGTCCCACGTCCGATCTGTCCCTAAATCCTGTCATCTCCTCCTTCAGACAATTGTCCCGCTACAAACAACAAAGCGGTGCTGGGAGAAGGTAAAGGAAACCCGAGTCGGGGCGCCTGGGTGGCTCAGCCAGTTGAGCGTCCGACTTCGGCTCAGGTCATGATCTCACAGTCCGTGAGTTCGAGCCCCACATCGGGCTCTGTACTGACAGCTCGGAGCCTGGAGCCTGTTTCAGATTCTGTGTCTCCCTCTCTCTCTGCCCCTCCCCTGTTCATGCTCTGTCTCTCTCTGTCTCAAAAATAAATTTAAAAAGTTAAAAAAAAATTTTTTTTAATTGAAAAAAAGAGAGAGAGCGAGAGAGAGATCACTATCCCCAGTATAACCTTTCCTTACCACCTAGACGACCTGGAGCCCCTCCCGAGGCTGCGGAAGCCCCGCCCTTCCCGCAGCCCCGCCCCCCCTAGCAGGTGCCGGAGCCTCCGCTCTGGATACCGAAGACCAAAGCCTTAACTGGGGCCACACCTGGAAGAATAATCCACCCTGTGCCCAGCTCTGTGTGATCTGGTCCCTCACCACTCAGTCCCCTTCTGTCTCTCCGGCTTCTTCCTGTCCCCAAACTAGCCAAGCACAGGGAAGGAGCCCAGAGGAGACAGGGTCCTGGGGCAGCTGGGGGTGACAGACACTGGGGGAGATCAAACGCTGGGAGACAGAGAGAGAGGAAAGGAAGAGCTATAAAGAGGAAATCGATATTCACTGGTTGATGATTGAATGGCCAAGAGAGATGTACAAAGGACCGCCCCAGGCCCACGGTTGCCACAGGAGGGAGTGGGTTAGAGTGTGGGGGCCTCTCCCCCTGCACCCCCATAGCTCCCTAGCACACTCACGCCTGCTTGATTTTCCACAAAACGCTTACTCCCGTCTTGTTTCTTCTCCGCCCCTCACAGGACCTGAGCCCCCCGGGGAGGCCTGGGACCTTGTCTGCCTGGTTCTCAGCTGTATTCTCGGTGCCTGGAACAGTCCCAGCACACGGTGGGTGCTCAGTAAAGGGACGGATGGAGGGCCGAGTGAGTGGCAGAGGGGCAGAGACAGGTGGATCCACACACACAGGGCAGAGGTGCGGTGTGGTTTCACCGACGGGGCCACGGGCCTGTGGTTTCAGCAGGAATCAGGGAGGTCAGGCTTTGGAGTGCCCCCACGGTGTTTGGGGATAAGCACGATGCTTCAGGGATCGCATTATTGCCGAATTCACCAGTTCAGGATCTAACTGTCCCCACAAAGCCAGGTTGTCTCCGAGTCTCACGTCGGGCAAGGTGACATCCACCCCAACTCCTCGTCCCCCACTGGACAGGGGAGCCACCAGGGATGCAAAGTGAGGGTGAACCCAGCTACGCTGGGGGCGCCTTGCCAGGACTGATGTCGAACCACACGAGTCCGGGTTTAAAAAAATTTTTTAATGTTTTTATTTATTTTTGAGACAGAGAGAGACAGAGCATGAGCAGGGGGGCGGGGCAGAGAGAGAGAGAGACACACACAGAATCCGAAGCAGACTCCAGGCTCCGAGCAGTCAGCACAGAGCCCGACGCGGGGCTCGAACTCACGGACCATGAGATCATGACCTGAGCCGAAGTCGGATGCTCAATCGACTGAGCCACCCTGGCGCCCCAAATCGGTTAGGCGTCCCCGAAGCAGGCACTGTGCCATCAGCGCACAGCCTGACACGGGGCTCGACCTCATGAACCGTGAGACCAGGAGCTGAGCTGAAGTTAGATGCTCAACCGACTGAGCCACCCAGGCACCCTAAAACGATGTATTTTGGGGGCACCTGGGTGACGCAGTCGGTTAAGCGTCCTACTTCAGCCAGGTCACGATCTCGCGGTCCGTGAGTTCGAGCCCCGCGTCAGGCTCTGGGCTGATGGCTCGGAGCCTGGAGCCTGTTTCCGATTCTGTGTCTCCCTCTCTCTCTGCCCCTCCCCCATTCATGCTCTGTCTCTCTCTGTCCCAAAAATAAATAAACGTTCAAAAAAAAAAAGAAAATTTAAAACGATGTATTTTGAAGTGGAAACATAAGCATGTTTTCCGAAACGAGAAAAGTTCACGAGAGGAGCGGCTCTGGGTAAGGGTCTTGCAAATCCCCTTAACGTTGGACCAACTAGAAGACAGCCGGGTCCCCACCGCAGCCTCTCTGTTCATTAGGACTGTTCTTCGGGTGCCTCACATCTTGTAGCTTCTAGAGAAGCCCCCTGTGGGCCGGCCAGAGAATGAATGAAAGGGGTTGATTCTCCCTTGGCATTATTATGAAAATAGTTTCGACCAGGTGAGCCTCCCCCTGTAGGGTCTCGGTGACCCACCCCACCCCAGAGGTCCCCGGGCCACCCTTTGAGTGGCCTTTCCTCAAACACAAAAGCGATGCATAATGAGACCCACAAAACAAAACACACACAAAACACAGAAGAATCTCACAACTCTTAACACTGAGCAAAGGAAGCCAGGCAGTGGGGTCCCCCGGGGGGGGGGGGCTCAGTCGGTTAAGCGTCCCACCTCGGCTCAGGTCATGATTTCACGGTTCATGAGTTCGAGCCCCAGGTCTCATTGACTGACATGGTGACCTGATTGGTGGATAAGCAAAGTGATGGGCAATAAACCTCCCAGGTAGAAGCGGGCACCTGGGTGGCTCGGTCGGTTGAGCGCCCAACTTCAGCTCAGATCGTGATCTCACGGTTCGCGAGTGGGGGCCCCCCCATCGGGCTCTGTGCTGACAGCACGGAGCCTGCTTCGGATCCTCTGTCCCTCTCTCTCTGTCCCTCCCCCGCTCAAAAATAAGTAAATATCTTTTTTAATTAAAAACAGTTCAAAGTATTTTTAAATACTTATACATTTATTTAAAATGTACGGGGCGCCTGGGTGGCGCAGTCGGTTGAGCGTCCGACTTCAGCCAGGTCACGATCTCGCGGTCCGGGAGTTCGAGCCCCGCGTCGGGCTCTGGGCTGATGGCTCGGAGCCTGGAGCCTGTTTCCGATTCTGTGTCTCCCTCTCTCTCTGCCCCTCCCCCGTTCATGCTCTGTCTCTCTCTGTCCCAAAAATAAATAAACGTTGAAAAAAAATTTTTTTAAATAAAATGTATTTAAAATTCTACGTGAAATGCCCTACGCGGGCACTCCAAAGCTGCCGGAGCCCTCAGGGCTCTGCGTAGATTCCTGACAGGTCAGACCCCTCTGGAACATTCCAAGTCATCTCTGAGGGCCCTGGTCGGACGCCCCCAGACCTCCACACCTATACCCCCTTTTCCCGGTCTCCAGAACCCCCTGTCACTTCCAAAGGGACAGAGCAAGGACGGCGGAAAGGAAACCAGGATATATGTTCATGATAAATTTTCTACATGGACAGTGTTGTCACCCTCTTAACCCTTGTAATGTAGTTTCCTAAACAGCCGGCTGGTGCTAGCTCTGTTCCCCTCACCGCTTCTCTGCTTCTCTGCCTCTTTATCTCCTCTGCTGCCCCCCTGTGGCCGTCCTGGCCCCGGGGGGGGGGGGGTGGGGGGAGTCTCCCCACAGCTGCTTCTCTGACCCCGTCCTGGTTCCATTTAGCAAATGCTCCAATCCTCTTAGGCCAGACCAGCCTCAGCAGAGCAGAGAGGGAATTAGATCAGATTTGGGGGAGGGGGGAGGGGGAGACACGTGACAGGCTCTAGGGGAGGGGAGGGGAGTGGACAGACTGTCAACATAGAATAAAAACTCCTTCT